ATCCTTTAAGAGGGTCAGTATATTTCTGACGGTTAGCTGATAACGAAAGGTAAACTCACTCAAGTTTTCTGGCTGTTACTGAGAACTTGAGTTTCCATCGCAAGTATTGAAGAGGAGTTTTTCAGCTGAAGTAGTCTTTTGTTCACAGCAATATGATTGCACAATTTAATGTTTCTATTTTATCATGTGTTTTGCAAAACGCTATTTTTTCTTTTTAGAGTAGGACTTGAAATTAGGGACTGAAGTCACTAACAAGGACTCTCTCTACAAGGAGATTGTACTGGCTAATGTTTCATTGCTGCAAGTCCTTAAAGATAACACAAATAACAAAGAGGATATTCAGGATGCCAGGAAGGAATACTTGCATGGGAAGTCTACCATCAAAACCTATTTTGTTTTCACAGAATTTTGTTTATCCCCCTTACCGTTTCATACAGTTTTGTGTAGGCTTTAAAATTTGTGTTGAATTCTGCACGAGATGTTCATCTGCGTAATAAGACCATTAGAAATAGTGATACTGTGATGAGGCAGACTCCCAGGCATACAAATAGGAAACATTAATCCAAAACAAAATTTTAGAATGCATTTTTTGAGATAGAAGCGTATTTACAGATTTTTTCCGTTAGTTCTGTATTTTTCTCTATAGATGTGGTGCCTGTATGAGTGTGGGGTTTCTACAAAAGCTGTTTTCCTTACTTCGGCGTTGCAGCAGCAGAATGTTGCAGCTACTGCATCTCTTATAAAGGCAGATATAAAAGATTTCTTGAAGTATGCTCAGCAGTTTATCAAAGTTCACATATTTGAATGGCAGTGATCGGTGTAACTTCATTGGGAGAGGGAAGCAAAGAGGAACAATAGAAATTGCACTTGTTTTTATTGTTGCAGGATGTCTATATAACTGAATTTTACATTTTTCTAGTATCTTCCTGCAAGCAGGTGTTTCACAGTCCTCACATCTATATAGCTCCAATTGACCTTGCTGAAGAGTTTTTTAATTACTTGTGCAGTTAGTGTTTTCTCTGTACTTTCCAGGATGACATTTACAGTTTGAGGAACTCATAACCTAACGGATACTTTTTAGCAAGCATTTTACAGAGATTTAAGTTAGTTACACTGGTACTAAACCTTCAGGAACAAGGAGTCAGGAGTAGAAAAAACAAGAGGCAACTTACATGCTGCTTCCTTTTACACACCACAGGCAAGAAAAGTCAGTAAATTCAGATTTTTCATGGAGTAGAGAAAAAACAAACAAACAAACAAAAACGAAAGCACCAAGAACAAGTCTGAGGATCTTATCCAAGACTAGAAGAGGAGGGAAAAGTATTCACTGAAGTCGTAGATAGTAATTGGCTTGAAAGGGTAATGAGCCATTATGTCCTGTTGTCCTGTTTACAGGCTGCCCAAAGACGTTGTGGAGTTTCCATCCTTGGAGATATTCAAAAGCTCTCGGATGTGGTCCTGGGCAGCTGTCTCTAGGTGGCCATGTTTTGAGCAGAGGGGTTGGATCAGATGGCCTCCAGAGGTCCCTTCCAGCCTCAACAATGCTGGGATTCTCTTAGTTGAGAGGGCGGACAGCAGGAGAGCTGTGTTTCACAATTAACTCTGCTTAAATAATGCACCTGACAGTGGAACTCGTGCCTGTTTGACTGTGACCCATCAAAACTTTTTAGTAAGGTCTCCCTGGTAGGAGACCTGCTGTAGGTGACCCTGCTCTGGCAGGGGGGTTGGAGTAGATGATCTCCAGAGGTCCCTTCCAACCCTAACCATTCTGTGATACCGTCTGAGCTTCTGTACTGCTCTTGTTGGAATGACATCACTGCATGTAGGTTGATTTTTGGAAGGGGAGAAAGAAAAGGAGACTAAGGGATGTGTGGAGCTCAAAACGGTATCATCTTTTGAAATGTGATGTCTGTGCATGCAGTCTCTGAGGCAGTGATGGTTTGCAGGGAGTTCTTGCTTCAATGGTGAAGGCCATGAAAGACAGGTGGAAGTATGTTGGCATTTGATGAAAAAGTATTCCTTATTCTTAGGCTGCTTCCAATCGGAGGCTTCTTGTGTTGTAAAAATGTTGACAGTTTTCTCAGTACTACCTTGTTATTTAAGTAATTCTTGTGGCAACCACTTCTTTGTTGTGTGAACATGGGCTCTGGAGCAAGAAGAGGATGGAAGGAGTAGGAGTTCGTAATCCTGTTGCCCTGTTGTTTCTGCTTTTGTACTCTGCCGTATGTTGTTGTAAGTCCAGCATTGCATAAACATTATTTTTTTGTATTTTGGGATTAGCTGCTTTCAAATATAGAATTAGTTAATCACTGCATTTTGCTTCAGATTGAGAAAGCTGTATATAGTGTTGCTTTAGCCATTCAATAGCAACTTCCTAACAGTGGGGAGGGGGTCGTTGGATGCTTTACAAAGTCACGTCAAGAACCTTCCTGTATCCGTAGCAGCACTGTGGACTTCTTAGTTGCGCCTGGGTATTATGAGGTTTACCACAGAAAACGTTAAGAAATCTATTGCCTGGGATTTCTGCAATAGCTTTGGTTCTTAGATTTCTAGTTTGCTAGAGAGAGAGGGTGGAAGAGTGATGTATAAGACCAGAATTGGACGCAGATTATCTGCCTAATATGGTTCTCTCATTAGCACGGATAATATGAATACCGTTTGGAGAACAAACGGATTATAGAAAAAGAAATGAAAACATCCAGATCCTGAGCATTTGGAAAGCATGACACTGATGTATTTGTGTAACCTTTTCATGAAGAGCGATGCTGAAGTCAAAGAGGGGATTTTGATTTCCTTCATTAAAAGCTTATTAAATGAAGAAATAGGACAGTCGTTGTTTTGCTTCAATAGTTGGGGGTCACAGAGGCGGGCCTGATCTCCTCGGGATATTAATGCCTGCTTTCAGCTGGGGGAAATGAGCCGTCGCCTGAGTTAGCTGCAGCTTTATGTGCTCGTCACTAGGGATCCCCATATGTCCTGGGATCTGCGGCAGTCGGAAATGGCAGAGCTCGGCAGCAGGGAGCAGAGGGCTCTCATTGCTATTCATAACAGGTAGCTCGGCTCAATCTGCCCAGAGCAAGTCTGTTTAATGTTGATCAGCTGTCCATCTGATAAACCGAATTGATATGGACATTTCCTCCAAGGGCTGCCCTGACAATGACAGCAGGAGCATCGGGATGTCTTGTTAGTCTTTTTCTCTGAGCTTGAAATTTTATTAACCCTTTGTTAGAGCCGAGCTGAGCGTGATGACAATACTGCGGCTGTAGGTTCTGTGCATTTCTCCCTCGCCTCTTTGAAATCAAACAGCATCAACCTTCAGTTTTGTTGTCTACGTGGAGAATGGCTAGCTGTCTTGTTTCCAGGTTGTTTTTCTCTGCATGGAGCAAAAATTGTGAATTAGAAAGGCAACTTTTAGAACAGCTTAGGTTTGCTCTGTGTGACAAAATACATTGGGAACCTCTGTTTATCCTCTCCCCCTAGTCATCTCTCTTTTGCATGTCTGCCCACGCTGTGTGGCTCTTCTGGCTCTTCTCTCTTGCTAATTGGCACGGCTCACTGGCCTGAAACAGTTGCTGCTGGGGCTCTTCGCAGGTCAGCTATATTTGGGGCAGAAGGTTACTTTAGATTAATATCGTTGGGGGCAGTTGCAACACATATGCACTGTTCAGAGGAATCAGTATTAATGTACTCAGTACCATGCCTGTAGGGAGGCAGAATCTAACCTGAGCATGTATCAGCAGGTATGTGAATGTATAGAGCAGTTTAGTTGCTCAGTGAATCAGTGCTTGGCCACTTTTGAATAAGCTCAGGGAGCATAACATGCCTTTTGTACTGGGTTGCAGTTTAATTTGAACTTTAAGGCCTTTTAGTCATCTGTCTAGTTGAGGGGTACACATTGCGGTTTTGCTCGTATGTGAAGTCTCCCTGACATAGAGGGAACTGATTGAGTCAGAAAAGATGTGAATGTGCTGAAGGTTTCGTAAGAGGGGGGCCTGCGTGTATCTAGGTTTGCAGCGTTAAGAGGATGCTCCAGTGTGTTGCTCTGTTCCCCCCTCCCCTTGTTTCTGCTCAGTTATTATGTCTGTTCATCGCCATGTTGTAGTTCTGAGCTAAGGTGACATCTCTGGGCTCTGTGGAGTGACAGTCACTGTCGGGAGCTACAGGGTTGAATTGTGGGAGGAGGGGAGGAGAAGGCTGTGCTAATGACTCTTTTCATTCCTTTTCCAAAAAATGAAAATAAATAGAGGGCAAGCCTCTATGGGATAACCTCTGTGGCAAGCCTCTCATGGGGATTTTAAACCCCTAAATTCAGAAAGTAGCACACTATGTGTTTGATTAAGAAGTGATTTGCAAACCTATCCAAATAAAATTGTGTCTGCCCCTTTGCTGGACAATAACCTTTGCTTCTTCTGACTGAAACAAGCAGAGAAACATCATTATTACACAGTTTTAAAATGTTCAGCTGTTTCTGCTTTCCCCCTGAGCCCTCCCCCCTTGGTATTATTGAACTGCAAGGTATCCCGTTATTAATTTAACTCCGATTTGAGCAGTCATTGACTGCAGCATTCTTATGGTGTTCAGATCAGCTTGCTTGCAACTCCCCTGCTGATGTGTCCTTTGTTCCTTCCCATCAGTACTTTCTGCTTGGCATTTTCTTCGTGTCAGTGTCCCTCAAGCTTCAAGACGACAAAACAAAAAAAAGAAAGCACCATGAGGACTGTATTGATTACTTAGCTTTATTTTGCGAAAGAATTCAAACAAAGGGCAGCGTTCCTCCAAATGGAACCTGTGGGTACCTATGGCTTACCTGGAAATACTGAGTGATAGTTCTCTGTGCTTAACACCTTTGGGTTGTGGCTTCTAGAAGTACATAGAAGAGCTACATGAGGATTCATAAAATATCTGTTTAGCACATGTGGTTGGTTGGGTTTTTTTCCCTCCTAAGAATCTGTATTTTATTCATAGCATCAAAAATAATTGTATTTTTTCTTTTCTTTTAGTCAAAGAAGTCTGGCTGAGATTACAGAACTGATCCACACTGCCTTTCTGGTGCATCGTGGAATAGTGAATATTGGTGAGCTCAAGTCCTGCGATGGCCCGCTGAAGGATATGCAGTTTGGAAATAAAATGGCTGTCTTGAGTGGAGATTTTCTTCTAGCAAATGCTTGCACAAGCCTTGCGCAGTTGCAGAATACCAAGGTAAAAAGAAAAAAATACTTCTGCTGGCAGAGCAAGTGTCTATTAGTGAATCTTCCCAAAGAGAGATCCGTTAGAAAATCAGCAATTGTGTTATGTATGTATACATGGAGCATCCTTTAAAAATCAGCTTGCTTACATTATAGCTGTGGTTGGATTGACAGGTTGCTGCTGCTGTGGACGTGTTTAGGGACGTGGTTTAGTGGTGGACTTGGCAGCATTAGGTTAGTGGTTGAGCTCAATGATCTTAAAGGTGTTTTCCAGCCTAAATGATTCTATGATTCACCACTGTCTTATAGAATTACTGTGTTGAGGCCTCTGAAGCAGTGTAGCCATAAGTAGTAATGGATGAGTAGTTAATTTGATGAATTTAACATATGTGCAGTGGCATCCTCATGACTTGTTGGACTACAACGCAGCTGTCCAACTGCCAGCTGAAGATGTTTGGTTTGTTATTTTGTTTTACCTTGAGCTTTGCGAATGGTTTGTCTGTCTTAGGGAATTCTTGGTGCAAAAGGCTGCTTCGCCCCCCTCCCCCACCTCCTCCCCAGTGCTCAGGTGACTTTTTACTCTTAATAAAATTATTTTGTTAGGCAATTGGATGCCCCTGAGTATTGGATTGCTCTGTTAACATGGATGTACTGGCTTCTAAAGGGCAGCTGCAATCCAGCTGTTCAGCCAAACTGTTTGAACATTTACAGGGAAATGTTTTTCATGACAAAGAAATTGTGTATATGTGTATGATCTTAGAAAATGAGAGTGATGGAGACCTTGAGAGATCATTTGTGTGGTTGGTTCTTCTTTTCCCCGGACAGGATCAGCTACACCAAATCTTTCTTGACATGTGTTTGTCTAGCTTGTTCTTAAAACGTTTCATGGTAGAGAGAGATTCCTGAGCATCCCTGTACGGTCTGGTGTAACGCCTAACTGCACGTATGGCTGCAGAGTTAAGTGTGCTGTTCCAGTGGAAACAGAGAACAACTCTTTGCAGGGTTACTTTTTATATGTCTGAAGATTGCTGCCATATTGTAATGTAAAATAAATGTTTGTCGCATGTTCAGTTGTCAATAATCCACATAGTTTTAATCCTGCGCTTAAGGAGTCTATTGTTTTTAGATTCTCATGCTAAGCCTCCTCGTGATGGTAGTTGAGTATTTTTGTACCGCTTTAATTGTGAGTGTGACAGTTTCTCTCAAAAGTGGTGTCATTTTGTAACATAGAGCTGAGATTCGGGAGAGGAGACAGAAAACTAGATGTCAATCTGCTGGAATAGTGGGTTAAGCCACTATGGTGATAACTGGTAGTAAATATTTTTAAAAAAAAAAAAAGTTTTAAATAGTGCAAAATTTTAGTCGTACCATAACCAAAATGGGGTGCAGTTGATTTTACTAATTACTGTTGATTTGTATCCATTAATTACTTTTTTTTAGTACTTAGTAAGATTCTCAAGACAGACCAAAGGATTTAACCCTACATCCATTTTTTTGTTTCAACATAAGAGGAAACTTTTCTAAAATGTAGCACCCATTACTTTGCATTTAGTACATCATTAAGTATTGCAGCAGCAGTGTATAATCCCTGAAGACTTGCCAGGAAACAAGCCTACAGTGAAATGAAGCACAAGTGCAAAGAAATACTTTTTTTTTTTTTAAGCAATCATTATACTGCACGTTGGAAAGTTCTGCCAAAACATTTTAACACTTTTTTTTCATTTTTCTGACATCTAAATACTTTCATAGCTTCTACATACGATAAGTGGGATGCCATTATGGAAACTGATTGACTTAGTAAATTATTCTTTTTCATACATCTAACCCTACTAGCAAAGTTAGAAAAATTGAAGTACAAGCTATAGAAATCTCTTGACAGGTGCAATGATTTAAACATACTGTATTTATTCTTTTGTAAATGATGAATTTTCAAATCTGGCATCTGTTTTTCAGCAGTGTGAAATAACTGTGACTTTTTTCCTTCATAATGTTTTGTTTTCTTTGATGTAAAAAGTAAAAATCACAGTACTGCTTTTTTCTGGCATTTATTTGGTAGCTCAGCAAACTGGCTAATGAAATGAGCAGCATTGTATCGTACATGGTACTGACCATGGTAGGCTATAGCCTCTGTAGACGTGCATAGCTGTTGTATAGACTAGAATTCGAACTAAAGGGGGCTTTAACATTAACTGAAACCACTACTACCAGGAGAATTTTATTGTGCTGTTAAACTCTTGTCTGAGCTTGTGTATGATGCATTTATCTCTGTGCTTCTCTTGGGGCTGACAATTAGATGTGAAATTCTGTAGTCGTAATGAAATGCAGACCTATTTTATAATTGCCAAGGGTAAAATTAGCAAAGTCAATTATTTTCCCTTAGGCTTTTCCCTGTAGATATTAAAAGGCTGCAAGGTAATTGCCTTAGGTAACACTTTGATTTTTAAATAACATTAAATATAGGAATTGTTGTTGTTAATTCGTAGTAATTTTCCTCTTCTTGCTACTGTTGTAGAATATAACTGTAACGATGTTAACAAGATTCAAGGCTCAGGGTTTGTGTTTTGGGGGATTTCTTTTAAACTAGTGCTCATACTTCTCGTGGGTTTGCTAAAGTTACGCAAAAGAAGAGGGTTGGAGCTGGTGTCTTGGTTTGTGGTTTTTTTTAATATCCGAGGTACAAGGACTCAAAATTTCTGGAAATTTTGGAAAGTTAGGAACCCTCCTATAAAATAAATTCTGCTGTTGTGCTATTATAAAGTCATCTAAAATACTATGTGTGTTCAAACAACAGAAATTCAGAAGAAAGCATTCTCATTTTCTTTGTGAAATTAAGACATTAATTATGATTACAAAGTTGATATTGACTAAGGCTTAAAATAAAGTATTGAAGGGCAAATGCAACTGCATTCTACTTTTTTGTAACCATGGCAAAGTTTTCCATTTATTCAGGTAATATAAACTGTTTAAAATAAACAGTAATTTCTTCGACGAACTTTTACAGCTACAAAGTATTAGATTGATCAGATCACGTATTTAAAATTCTTCTGTACCTTATGTTAACTTTTTGATTACCTTATATAAACTATCTCTTTTTTTTTTTTGTCTGCTCTGTTTATGTTTTTGGGTGGTGGCTTTTCTTGGCCTGCTGTGATAAATTCTGTTACCGATTGAAGATAATATGGATATAACCTTACTTCAGAACCACATCCTGTAGCAGAACAGAGTTGAGCCCAAAGAGGAATCGGGTTGGGATCTTTTGGTAGTTGGTAAATCAGCGGTGGGTATGGGAATGGTGAGCCTTTGCCAAGGAAGGGCATGGTTAGTTTTTACTGCTTAAATAACAACACAGTAATGCCTGGTAATGTGCTGATTTGTTGGGCAGGGGAGTGTTTATAGGGGATGATGGGGCTGTTTTGATTAGTTTTCTGATGTTGAGGTTGCAGTATTTCGATACTAGGATTGCAATAAGGTATTTGTAAAATTCATCGTAAATGTGTAGGTGTGTGGGAGGGTGGAAAAATAAGTGATGCGTGCCTAACAAAATAAGATACCTTCCAAATATGTTGTGGGATATGTGACCATATACAGTTTTAAATAAATACATGAATAAATTATTAAGACATGTAGAAGGATGTGTTTAAGGGTTAGTTCTTTGTTGCCATCTGAAGGTAATACATCTTTAACATTTGTTGTCTTGCTTTGCTGAGCCAAGTATGTGTGGATGAAACCACTAACAGCAAGTTTTGTTGCATGGAAGTGCTTCTTTGACTCTGGTAGCAAAAAGTGTTAGTTTTGTCTTTTGATTTCTGCTTAGGTAACCTTCACTACTTGTAATATTTTTAGGGTGGCATTCAGATGCAAACATAGCAAAAGTAACAAGCATTAATTGGCATTTCTGTTTGGATACATCATATGGACACATGAACACAAGAAACCACCAAAAAAAGCCATATTCAAAACAAAAAATAAAATCCCAGAAAAAATAAAGGGCGGGGAAAAAAAGCCCAGCCCAAAACCTTGAAATACATGTAATGGTAGTGTTTCCATAGTTCTTACTGAAATCTTAAGAACAACTCTATTTTTCCCCACTATAATTCAGTGAGCTTTTGTTGGAATGTTAAACTGTTCACAGAAGCACTTCAAAATCTACAGCCTGAAAGCTTGGAATTGAATTTAAGAATCTTGTCTGTTGATGCAGAGCTCTGCCAGAAGACCACATTATAGAGCATTGTTTTATTAAGCATTATTTGTTTATAAATAAACAGTAGCACAGATGTAGTACTTATATAGTGGATGCATATCCTTATGTTAAGTTTATGTATTCCTAAAGGCATAAATATGTTGTTTACAAAATAGGCCTTGTGTTTGCGTAAACATCAACAAGTTATTCATGTAAGTCTCCTTAAGTCTTCCTGTTGCAACAATCTGAATGTACACTGTGCTTCATAAAAGAACTGCTTATCTTGAATTATGGTTTCTACTTCTGTAATGTCAGTTGTGGTCCCGTGGGGAAGGCTCTGTTTTGAACTTGAGCGACTTGATTCCTTGCTGACCAGTGAAGGACATGGAGAGTATCCCCTTGCTGGAATTATGCCAGTTGGTCTTTCAATGTAAATGTCCATTTTTGAGAATTGATAACCAGCTCAGCTAGACTTTACAATTTTAATTTTTAAAGTTGTGTAAGAAAGGTAGTACTTGTATCAGGTTTTTTCTTTTCCTGAATGATGTCAAGAGAAGAGCATAAACTTTTCCAAAAATATTTTAAGTATTTAAACAGTGAAAAGTCATGGATTGGCTAAAGAAATGATTCCTAGGATCAGTGGCAGTTTTCTGGTCCTCTCTTCAAAACTGAAAACTTATTCCAAAGAACATGGAGAGTGCATACTATCAAGAATCTGGTAAGAAATATCCTTTTTAAAAGGAAATGTCTTGTTGCCTAGGTAAAGGAGCATTTAGCAGCCACTGACTTGTAATAGGTCCAAATTACTGTCCCTCAGAACAGCGCTTTTCATT